AAATTTTGAAAAAGTTGACTACTAATATATTGTAATATAGTCACTTTGGTGGCAGTAACTATATTACTTAATAACGTGCCAAGAGTTTTACAACAATATGTTCTATAATACCAACACATTCTATAACTATATCAATAAACCTGATATAAAAAAATAAAAAATATACTAATATAATAATGTAAATAGTAATTTTGGATAAGATAGTCAATACTTCTTAGGTTAAAGTATATTATTATAATAAATTTATATATCTAATTAAATGCATCAAAAAGTGGGAAAATAGGTTAGTCTGTGGGGAAAATAAATTAGATGCATTGTTATTAGGCCATACAAATAAAATTATTCGTTTCTCATCCATATAAATAATAAAAAGTGACTTGGCCACCCAGAAAATAAATTTATTTTTAAAAAAAAATTAATCCTTTTCTAAAATATGATTGGTTAAAAAATTTTTTTTTTCACCTAGTAAAATATTTATATCTCAGCTATTATCATAATTTATTGAAAATTTGCCCAAATGATTTTTTCACTGATTTGGTTAAGCTATAGATTTTGGGAATAATAATGATAATAATAAAATTTAGTAACAGATATATTGGATTTCTTTTAATATAGATGGCCAATATAGAAATATTATCCCTTAAACCATCAAGTAGGCAAATTTGCCCACTTAAATTTTTTTGGCCAATTTTTGTGCAATTGTATTAAGACACACCCCATATTCCCTAAGCTAGAATGGAAGTGTGCCACATGCTAGATGTCGTGTAATTCTTATTTTGAGAAACTTCCTTAATACTGGTCCAAAAATTAACTAAATATAGTTGTTTATAATATAGTCTTTACAATCAATTTTAATAGTAAAAAGGTACCATCATGTAACAATTGTGAAAGATTTTCACGATTGTCATGTGGAGGTACTTTTCATAATATGATATTAGAGTTGGTCAAAGATTCTTCATGACCAACTTCACAGAGTTGATTTTTGGGGCAATATGAGGAAGATAATATGACTCAAAAGTTCAGGTAAAAATGGCATATTTTACAGCTATTGTGTGAACTTATACTCTTTGTTTAAACCATTTTGAGTACATTACACTGTAGCTATTGAATGTAACGTGTGGTTCAAGCTTCAGGAGTTATTGTAGCTGGTTGAAATAAAGATCTTCATAAAAAAAAATTTTTTTTTTATATTCTACTTTATCTAATTATTTTAGCGAGCAAATTTGCCCACTTATCTGGACGGTTTAAGAGATAAGATTATAATATAAAAAAACTCTAACTCTAACCCTAGAGCTAACTATAAACTTTATTATAACTCTTAACTAACTCTAACTAATCTCAAATTTGCTTAAATTAGTTCAAATACTATGTTTATATATTATAATCTTATAATATTTCTATAGTGGCCACCTTTACTAAAGATCAACTGATATATCAGATACATAATTAGATGACTAATATAAAACTTATATTTCAATAAGACTAAATATCGACATATAATTCTCATCATTTGGCAAGATTCATTTTACTTAAACAAAGCCTTTATTTTTTTTTGACAAAAATTCGGGTTTAAAAAATTGTATAAATTTCCAATTCTATTTTTTGGCAAGATCTATTTTTGTTTAAATAAAGGCATTTATTCATTTCTAATTATTTTTTGTTTTTAGTTGAAGACAAAAAAATTTGGGTTTAAAAAATTAAATTAAATTTCAATTTCTATTCTTTAGCAAAATCTATTTTCGTTCAAATAAAGATTTTTATTTATTTTTAATTATTTTTTGTTTCTTGTCGAAAACAAAAAATTTGGGGTTAAAAAATTGGACTAAATTTTGATTTCTATTCTTTGGCAAGATCTATTTTCGTTCAAACAAAGGTATTTATTTATTTTTAATTATTTTTTGTTCCTTGTTAAAGACATAAAATTTAAATTTAAAAAATTGAATTAAATTTCAATTTCTATTTTTTGGCAAGATCTATTTTCATTCAAACAAAGCCTTTATTCTTCTTTATTTTTTGTCGAAGACAAAAAATTTGGTTTTAAAAAATTATACTAAATTTCAATTCTTATTTTTTGGCAAGATACATTTTCATTTAAACGAAAGCATTTATTTATTTCTAATTATTTTTTGCTTCTTATAAACAAATATAAATATATAAAATTATTTACTTTGATTTTATTTATCATAATTCTTCATGCATTCTCGACAAATATTAATAATATCTTGGTTGTTTAGAATCCTAACCCAAAATTTATTTTTTAAACTAGTTAATTATATAAGGCAGTGTCAATCAAAATGTAGTATAGTGAGATTGATTATTTTCTAAAAATTGTTACACAATATTAAAAAATTAGGGCATGTCTAATTGTAATATCAATCAAAATACAAATATTTTTAATTATTATTAATATTTTTATTATAAACAACATGTTATGATTAGACATGCCCTAATTTTTTATCATTTTGTATAACAATTTTCGAAATATAATCAATCTCACTATACTATGTTTGATTGACACTGCCCTATATTTAACTTTTTAATAATAGTACTTGTTCATACAAATTTATATTTGATTCTTTCTTGTTAAGGTTTATTGGTTGATATGAACAATTTTTTCTATAAATTTTCATACAAACTAAAGCACACCAAGCATTTTTGAACAAGCATTTGAATGAAAATTTAAAATTGTTAACACTATTGTTATGATAATCATAAAATGATCAGTAATTATTTTATTATATAGATTATGCCAAATCAATAACTTAACTGAATTGGTGGAAAAATCATTTAGGCAAATTTTTACAGGTGTTCCAGGAATTATGATAATAGCTGTAAAAAAATAAATTTTTTTCTCTTTCAAAATATTTATGTGATCCAGCCGGGGATGAGAAACAAATAATTTTATTTGTATAGCTTTATAGATTAGAGTGGTAATAATTTTTTTTTTTTAGATTCAATATTAAAAAATCGATAATAAATTTTGTTCTCTAAACTTAAATTTGAAGACAAAAAATTAGTTAAATTTGGCAAATGCACCATAATGTATCTCTTTAATCTGTAATACTAGTTGATATTATATAAAGTAATACTATATTAATTATCAAACAAATATCTACTAAGTTTATTCAATTTTAATAAATATAAACAATACTAATCTTTTAAAAAAAATAAACTAATTTATTTAATTTTTGTTAAAAATTTTGTGAGAATAGCTAGAAAGCAAAAAATATATATACAGTATATTATATTTATTTAAAAAAAAGTATATATATTTTTTAAAAAGAAATTTATTAGCTCTAGTCTTTCTACTATTAAACCAAATATTACAAGTATTTTTATTTTTTAGTAAGTGATAAACTCTAAGCTTGTTAGCAAATAATGTATAAAAACTATTTCTAAATAACAAGTAATAAGTAATTAACTCTAAAACTATTATCAAACAGTATATCTCTAAATAACAGTTGCTGTCTTATAGTTCTCTAACTTATTTCTATATATATGTTGCATCTCAAATTAATGCTTGTCTCAGATCATAGCTGATACATCTCAGGTATAGATTGTTAGATGAGATGCGTAATCTATCGATCAGTCATTACTCAAAAAATATATTAGTGAAAAATATTGGAATGATGGCGAGAAAAATCAATAGATTGCAGTGTATATATATATAGAATAAAATGTATTATTGAAGTTGAACGTGCTGAGAAGACTTAAACAGGAAGAGTAAACAGAGAAAATTTAGGAAAAAAAAACAAAACCATACGTATAGAAAAAAAAGTGCATATTAATTGAAAATAGAATGTGCTACGAAAATTCAGAAAAAGAAATTTAAAGAAAAGAATAGAGATGCTAAATGCTACTAATAAGAAAAACGCCGAAGAGATTTAGAAAAGCAAGAATAAAAAAAGCATCCAAGTCAAAAGTCTTTTATTCAATTTATTTTGCTTAGGCCTCTGTATGGGCCGAGTAGGGCCGAGTAGTAGTAATACTCTAGCCCTACTCATTTACTAATGGGCTTAATCTTCAAGCCCTTACCCTTACTCTAGGGCCCCAAAATTGATACCCTAGCCCGGCCCTTAAAGCCTGTAGGTACCTACAGGCTTGATGCTAATATGTGTTTAATATTTAAAATGTTAGGATTTTCAAATAATTAGATACTGGGGATAGTATACCCGATTTGTAATATGTATTATGTAACTAATATAGATTTAAATTTGCACTTGTAACTAAAAGTATATTTGAATTTTTGCTCAGAAATACAGGTTTACTATATAAATTTTTTGCTTTTGCATATATTTCAATTTTGTGAACACGATTATAAGATAAACTATTTAAAGATCTGATAAAGCAGATTTATTTTTTTTAATATTAAACTTTTCTAAGCAAATTCGCCAAAAATCTCATGGTCTGGCTATCGAATTATAATTAACGAATTAGCAGTTTAAGGAATAGTATGATATATCAATATTTTTTTTCTATATCGGTATAGTGTATTATATTAGAACTTTGATGGGTTGCCATTATTCTATAACAGTAAGAGAATGTAAATATATTTTTTTGAGTTCAAACCGGTAATATTAGAAACTAAAGGTTACAAAAAAAAAAAATGAATAGCAAGAATATTTGATTTGAGTAGAATAATAGTGCTTTTATTTTATTAAAACTCAAATTTATTGTTGTTATTTGAATTTTTTAAATTCTATAATTTTTAGAAGCTAACATATCAAGATCGATATTACATTACAATTGAATATTAAATAGTAAATCATGAATAATATAATTAATAAATAATATTTAATAAAATTACCTTATAAATACCTTATGATAATTATTTGATTTATGAAATAATTTAAAAGTATATTTCAGTTTTGATAAGCACGATCTTTAACAATTTTATTATGAAAATCTTGCAACTTGTTATTTTCTAAATACAATTAGAAAACATTGAGTAATATTTAATAAACTATCGACTTTTGGTTAATTTAAAATTATTAAAAGTCTTATCCAAATTTTGTTGCCATTTTTAACCAGTTTCGCTGGCATACTAGTGCAGTTACTGTATCCGGATCTAATGAAGTATGATAATCATCAATAATACGACCAGCACAACTAAACATTTGTTTAGAAGCTACACTTGTAGCTGGCACAGCAAGGAAATCTCGTGCCATTTTAGCTAGAGTTAGATAATGATTATTTTTTTTTTCACCATTCGATAATGTTAGTAGTTTTTGGTACAACTTGCTCATCAATATATTGCTTAAATTCACAAAAAATATCTTGACTAGTCTGTTTTTTTTCATCACATATTCATAATAATCATCAATATGATCTTCATATAATAGAGCATTATTCTTGATACTAGTAGTGTTTTCAGTATTAGTTGGACTTTGTTCAAAAACTGAAAGAGAATAATAGTTAAAATAAATATCTTCAAAACTAAATTATCAAAAATATAAATTAATTGATAATAAGTAATATACTGTAAATTACTAGTAAATTAGTAATAATTTATCTTGTATGAATATCTTGTACCTTTTTATCAACATAATCTGGTTCTTTTTTATAATAATAAAATGATATAAATTGCAATTTGTATCGAGGATTCAGAATGCATACAATCATACATAGTAAGTTGCTATTTATTGAATTTTTCAATTATAGGCAAGCTAACTTCGCGAATAAAAATATCAGAATAAGATTTCATTTTAAAAATATAAGTACAAATATCTAAAATAGAGAGAAACGTATGATTAATTGTTGGATAAAAATTTGCTGATACATTTAATATACCTATTTATAGTAAATAAAGAAAATTAAAAATTATATACTGTATACTGTATATAAAAAAAAAATTAAAGTTATATAAAGTTAACTTTTTATTTGTAATATACGAATTTAATTATTAAAAGCTTTTTTTTAAAATAGTTCAATTTCGAATATTGTAATACAAAAGTTAACTCTATATAACCTAATTTTATATACATCAAATAATATATAAAATGCTTTATTAATATTTACATCTATAGAATGGTTCTAAAATACAGTATTACAAATAGCTTTTGCTTTTTCCCATTCTTCTTCATTCAGTATATTTGGAAAAGCTTTATCCCTATCTTTTACTCTAATAATTGCAGCTTTTAATTCTATTGCTGATTGTAACATCATAAACGTTGAGTTCCACCTAGTTTCACAGTCTAATAGGGGAATTATACTTCTAAGTGACTCATATTCGCAAACATCAATAAATATTTGTCGTCGTTTTGGTAATGTATGAATTGCTTTAATGCAACTACGAATCTACAGTATATACAGTAAATATAGTATGTTAAATTATTAAATATTATCTAAAATTATTATATATATATAAATAGGTACTATTTTGATTTCCTTTGAAATTTTCTTTAATTTATCTTTTACAATAAGATTAAGAATATGAGCAAGACAATAATTATGAAAAATTTTAATTTTGATGTCAATTAACTTTTGTAAAATATTATTAGTTAATTCACGAACTACAACATTATTTGAAGCCACATTGTCAAGAGTAATTGTTTGCAACTAAAATATATTTTTATTATTCATTATTATAAATATAATATATATAGTATATTATATAATTATATACATACAAAAAATCAATTTTAATTACCTTAGTAGTAATAAAATATTCATCCGTAACATCTTTAATACAATTAGCGATACTACTTCCAGTATGAGGATAAGGCATTAATTTAAATGATAATAAAACTGAAATAAGTTTCTAATTTTTATCAAAAAAATAGGCAGTGATTGCTATATATCCAAGTTGCTGAAGCAATATCCAAATATCGCAAGTAAGAGAGATTTTTCCTTTAGCATCTTGAAGAATTGATTTAACCAAAGCCTTTTTTTTATCATAGGTCTTTATAATATCACGTTTTATTGTATTGGCACTAATGGTAAAACCAGATAATACTCCATTAACAAATTTTTGAAAACCTTGCTTTTCAACAAATTGAAAGCTTAATTCATCCATAACTATCATATATGCAAGGTTTTTATAAATTGAGTCTTCAGAATTTGGTCAATTAATTGGTGAATTAAACCTTAGTTAAGTTTGACCATTTTGGCCATTTTGCTCATTTTGACCATTTGATTTGCAACATTAGCATTTAATCTCTTATACTTTATATAAGAATTAAGATGGCGTTGAAAGTGAGATGTTCCATTTCCTTTTTTGTAGCTAAGTAGTTTTTTACAATGTTTATATTTGGCTTTTTGATCACTTTTTAATATAGAAAAATTTTTCCATACAGAGGATCTATTTCTTGATATAGCTGTTTCACTAGATGTTTCAGTAGCGTTAATAATAATACTTAAATTGGTGGTGCTTAGATTAACACTTGAATTGATACCTGAATTGGTGGTGTTTGAATTGGTGTTTGAATTGGCGCTTGGATTGGCACTTGAATTGGTAATTGAAGACTCTGAAACTGACAATACAGAGATAGAATTATTTGAAGCGATTACTTTACCATTATAATTATTATTCTCAAAAATGTCCATCTCATCATCATAAACCCTATGATTGTAAATCTCATTCTCATAATCATCAAAATCATCCATGTTTATAGATTAATTGCTGTCTAATAAATGCTATCTAAAAAAAAATAAAGTATTGGTATTATGATAATTTTTTTAAAAAAAGTTATAAATCATAAATTACTATATTTATAAAACAAACTTACAATAAATTTCAATACTTTTAGGATATTATTTGTACAAAGTATATCAGCTATGCTTTTTCTCCTGTTTATTGAAGATATTATTAATAAAGTTAAAGTACAATTTATGAAAAGTTTTTAAACACTCACCTTAAATATTAAAAAAAAAAGAAAAGTTTTTAAACATATAAAAAAAAAAGAAATGTTAATATATAGTATATATTGTAATTATGCAAAAATTATTCACTAATAAACTTACAAAAAGTTCACTAATCAATTCTCAAAGTATTGTTTTTGCAAGGCACATCGACTAATACTCTTTCTCCTTCTGATCAAAGATTTTTATCACAAAAAACTACTGCACTCAAAGGGCATTATAAAGCGAGCGTTTTTTATGCTTAAAAAAAAAAAAAGCTTATATGAATTTTGAAGTTACATAAAAACTATTCACCTAATGTAACAAACTTACAATAAAGTTAAGTATTCAACTCTTTCACCTACAAGTGAACTGGCTAGTGCTTTTTCTTCTTTCGATCAAAAATATTATTACAGTACTTAAGCGAAAAAAATGCTATATATATAGTTAAAAAAAAAGATTATCGATCAATATAAGTTTTGATTGGTGGGTAGTCATGTGCACGTATAGTGGGCTACCCTACGGGTATATGAGCTGGGTAGTGTCGGTATCCAAACCCTACCCATATAATATAAGGGCTTGCGATTCTTAGCCCTACCCTACCCTAGGGCTTGTAATTTGATGCCCAAGCCCGGTCCTGGTGATACTACCCTTAGGGTACCCGTGGGTAGTCCCGGCCCATGTGGAGGCCTAATTTTGCTCTCTTACTTTCGTCAGATTGAGTTTGGATGATAGATCAATACGTAGTTTACGCACCTCACCTGACGATCTGAATCGGAGGTGCGTCAGCTGTGATCTGAGGCAAGCGTTAGTCTGAGGCACAACATATATACTATTTTATTTTTTATAAATTCAAGTGATTATTTTTAATTTAAAAAAAAAACACTCGGATAGTAAATATACTTAAATTTGATTATTAGAACCAAAAAATTAACTTTGCTTAGTCTTATATATAAAATTTTTGAAATAAAATTAAAAGCCGGGTTGCCGGATAATCTATTATGAGAAGCAAAAAATTAAATTTGTATGGCCCAGAAATAAAATTAAAAGCCAGGTTGTCGGGTCATTTTTAAAGTTTTATTATGAGAAACTTTGTACGGCCTAATATAAAATTTTAAAAAAGTTTGGTAACCCAAACTACACAAATGTGTATAATTATTAATAACGATAAAACCTAACCCGGGTTCCGAAAAATAACTTTGCTTGGTCTAACATATAGTTATTAAGATACCTTTAGTTAAAATTTTTATAAAAATATAAATAGCAACTTCAATAAAATACTATATATATATATATATATATATATAATTTTTAAATTAAAATATTGATTATATAAAAGTTTGTTTGGAAGAGAAGTACTTAGAACATATTGTATGCATTTAAAGTCGACTATAAATTAAACTTTAGTTTATTAAAAAACTATAATTAAACAATTTTTAAAAAGCAAAACGACAAATTACTTAATCGTGAGGATTATTCGAAAACATGTAGAAAGTGTAAAGTACTCACATTAGATACTTGCAAACACAAAAACACAACACATTAATGATTAAGGATGTAATCACAATTTTAATACACTTCACTAAAGATTAAGGATGTAACCACAATTTATTACACTTAATCGCTTAAGAAACAAAGGGTATTACAGTAGAATACAATACATAATAAAAGACATTCTAAGAATACGAAAATAGAGAGAGAATGAACTTCTAACCAACAGTAAGCGTAAGAAAAGGTAACAAATATTACATTATTATTCATTAAATTAGAGCCGCAGATTAATCCGGCTTAAGATTGCTCAGCTTACCAATGGCTCGATTCTAATAAGTAGAGCCAAATAAATTGTCCAACTTAACTAAATGTAAGCCGTGAGCCAAACCGAGCCAGCCGTTTACATATCTAGTCAACAAATTATACACTTGCCGGTTTTTGATCTTCTCTTATAGGTTTCAATATATTTGAGCTGTCTGTTATTGATCGCACCTCGCCTACGTTCTCTAATGTAGACAATCGCATCTAATGCACTCATTCCAGATTCGATCAATGCAATGGCGACCAAAACAGGAGCACTATTGATGCGATGATAAAATAAAATTAAATGTTAAAAAGAAACAAGATTATATTCAAAATTTGAATTTATCAAAAAATAAGTAGAAATTGAATATTTACCGGCCAAGTCCGGCTACACAATGACATGCAATGGTTGGTCTCTCTTCATCGGAGACTAATTCACCGAATCGCTTTTGAACAAGATCAAGCCAGTCATTGACTATTTGAGTTGGTGGAGCTTCACCATCACCAAATACCCAATCCTGTGATATTAGAAAATAATAATGTTTATATATCTTTGTGAAATTACTGAAAATTATCATTCGATTAAATATTGATATGAAAATTTACATGAACTTTCATTCCACGTTCTTCAAGGGGTTCAATGTGGTAAGTAGGATCGCAGACACGGACAACATCTGTTACGCTATATCGCTCAAATTCCTATGAAATTAAACCAACGAAAATAATTATTTAAAGACGAAAACATGATGTTTTTGAAAACAAATCAAATCTACATAAATACCTGGATGTAAAGGGATAGATTATTGTCTGAAGGCGCATCTGCGATCAAGAAGCGAAGATTCTTATGCTCAATGAGCGTTGGTGGGTTAATGGATCCTCGTAAAGCAGGGGCGCGCATAGCTGGCATTTGGGGAGTTTTATTTATTTATTCTTTTTTTTTTTTTTAGTTTATTTTATTTTATTTTTTTTACAGGATGATAGAGTGGTTAAAATTGTAACTTCTTAAGCAAGTACAGCGAATCTTATACAATCTTGTGCGGTCGAACGTCGGGAGGCTGATTAAATAATGATACTTCTTTTTTTCTGAATAATAAAGAGATTCATATATTCGAAAGATGCAATGATTTGAGTTACTTATTTTTTATAAAGTGCCCGCTGTTTCAAGCTTTGAAACGAAAAAAGGGACAAGGGACAAGTAAATAAAGACATGTAAAATTTACCTCAACAAAACTTGAAAGCAAAATATTTTTGTATTGTATATATTTTTCTATGCGGCAGAAAGGAAAAACTCGACGACAAAGCAAGCGGCTGGCTCGAACGAAAAACTTCACAAAAGCTAACCAGGGTCAAACATAGGAGAGTGCGCAGGTGCAAAAGAAGCTGCTGGATTCAACTTGGAAGCACAGATTCGGATTTAGTCTCAATATAATTAGAAAGATATGCACTTTTATTAATGTGCTACTCTCAGATTTACATTGAACAATTGGAGAAGAGTAGAAACGAGATAAAATAATAACAGTTTAATATGAGAGAAGAACTTTTATAAAAGTTAGGTGGTTTGGAGTTGAAAATAAAGACAACGAAAAAAAAAAATTCGAATTTTTTTTTTTTAATATATGGCTCAGTTGTGTATCATTAATTTGTAATTTGATTGGCAGTATTCATTTATATTATATATTATATATATTTATAACTTAAAACTTATATTATACAATATACTAAAGGAGGGAAGCTAAATAAACATCCGTAACATTGAGGAGATATCCAGATATCACACACAGCCGCTCTCAGCCCAGTTTCTTTGATGATGCACATGTAAACAAATTATACAGTACAATGTATTCTTATTCATATATTATTCGTAAAATTGATAATCACAAATCACCGGTCAACATCAAGGATAACCCCATAGTGAAAAGATGTTACTTCGCCTCATGGTTCATTTTGTACACTCTGTATTACGATAACTGTTCGGTGTGCGTTCGATTACAAAGATAGGCAATTGGTTAGATGCGGAAGTATTAATGTGCGAATGTAATACCAATTACAAGTTTTCGGCTATTTCCTATATATTTTATAATGATATCATTATATGGTGGCTGGATTACAGAATGCTTCAAAACCAAGACAAGAGTAAGCATGTGTCAAGTTACCTGTTATATATCGATATATTCAGTAATCTTATGTAATAAGGCTGCTATAAATATGTCACCCTTTTCTAATTATCATTGGATATTGAGAGTCACGTTAGGACGTACAATCCTAATTAATCCCTAAAAATCAAATAGCAGAATTTTTTTGTATAAATTGTACTTTAAATCTGAGGCTAATTAGGAATTTCCGTATAAATCGAAATTTTTTGTAAACCCGATTTGCATTTATAAATATACCATATTTGATTTAATGCAAAAAGCTTTTATCTAAAAATCAATACTGATGTTATTATTTTAATAGATAAGATTGATACTTATTTAATATATATATATAAATACTGTATGTATATATAATAATATATGTATAAAGATAATAAGTTTAAAATAAGAAAATACATGTACGTACGTATACGTATACGTATCTGGTATTACATTTTTATACGTACTATAGTAATTTTACTAATAAAATTTTAGTTAAAATATATATATTGTAGTTATTGTACGTAATACGTACATAATACGTATTAAAAATTTTGTTAAGCTTTTAACTAATTATGTATATACTATTGTATATAGTGTACTAACTATATATGTATATTTATACACAAAATTTAATAATAATTTATAGTAATTTATAGTATATATTTTACCAAATATAAGTTATATATATAATATAATACAATTAGTTTTTTAAACATACATAATACTGTATATACTGTACATACTGTACTATATAGTTATATTTTAATTATAATATTTTTAATACTATATTAGACAGATATTAGATGTTATTAACTATTCAATTATTTATACTGTACT